CAGAGGCAGGCCAGATCTCTGAGCTCAAGGCCAACTTTGTCTGAATTCCAGGCCAGCTGGGGCTACAGGAAGACTCTGTCTCAAAAAAGAAAAAGACCACCCTCCCTTCCAAAAAAGTGAGACAAAATAACGACAAATAGTGAAACAATTAGAGGTAGCTAATGGTTCTAGAACTTTCTTTGGGGGAATTAACATGACATTTTAAGTTTAAATTTAAAAAAAAAAAAGAAATTTACATAATTATACAGTTCTGGTCAAGATGTTATCTCTTTGATCCTTGTCTCAATTCTGGTTCTGCAAGGTGGTTCCTGTTGCTAAAGGGTATAAATTAATTTTAAGAGACAATTACTCCTCCCATGATACGATTGGAAAATTTTTCCTCTCTGAGATGCTGAACTCTTTATTCCAAGGATTAAAACAATAACTTATCTCTGTGGCTTTTAAATATGTTTTGTCTGTGTGTGTACATATATAAACTTTTTTTTTTTTTTTTTTTTTTTTTGTCTTTTTGAGACAGGGTCTCCCTGTAGTCTCAGCCGTCCTGGAACTCACTATGTAAACCAGGCTCCCTTCAAACTCACAAAGATCTGCCTGCCTCTGCCTCCCAAGTGCTGGGATTAAAGGCATGTGCCACCACACCCGGCCCATATGATATAGACTTTTTAAGGATATTTTTTTTTTTTTACCACTACTATCTCTTAAAACCAACAAATAGATCCTATGTAAGATACATCTCTATTTTTTTTAATGGTCATTAAAAAAAGGGGGGGGGAGTGGCTGGAAAGATGGCTCAGCAGTTAAGAGCACTGACTGCTTTTTGCAGAGGCCCTCGGTTCGATTCCCAGCATCCACATGGTGGCTATGAACCATCCTTAACTCCAGTTCCAGGGGAATTTGAATCCTTCTTCTGACCTCTGTGGCATTGCACGACACAGGTGCACTTACATACATGTAGGCAATACACTCATACACATAAAAAAACAAACAAACAAAAAAACCTACTTCAAGGCTTACAAAGACATCTTAAAGTTTACAAACAATCTTAATGTTGTTACATCACAATAATATATTTCGGACAATTATTCATCCCTGTGCTCTTAGTTTAAAAATATATGGTATAGGTAAAACACTCATTAAATTAAATGATTAACATAGTTATTGCAAAGGTAAACAGGTAAAAAGGAATAAAGTAAAAAATACCAAATTTAGCCTAGCGTGGTGGTGCACGGCCTTTAATCCCAGTACTTGGGAGGCCAGCCTGGTTCCCATAGCAAGTTCCAGGCCAGCTGGGGCTACAGGGAAAACCTGTCTCAAAAAGACCGAAAAACAAAAAACAACAACAACAACAACAAAAAGAAGCCAAATTTTATCCTGCATTGGATGCCTCGTAAGCCCTACTGAAAAATGAATGCCTGTTTTAAAACAGCAGTTTCAAAGTGCCTGTTATAATGACTTAAATTGCTAACAAATAATTAATTTAAATTGGCTAAAAGGAATCCACAATACTATTTGTGTATTTTATCTGTATTTCTAACTCTTAGATACTTAAGATACCATATAATGTTTTCTATGTTTTAGATACAGCCTCCTAGGTTTTTATTTAAAGTTTTATTTAAAAAATATGATGATAGAAACAAAATAATCAAATTTAAAAAATTTTTTAAAATCTTTTTTGAGACAGGATCTCCCTGTAGTCCCAGCTGGTCTGGAACTTGCTATGCAGTCTAGGCTAGCTTCAAACTCACAGAGATCCTCCTGCCTCTGCCTCCCAAGTGCTGGGATTAAAGGCGTGTGCTACCATGCCCAGCTGTAATCAAGTTTTTAAAAAGGAGACAAAAGATTATAGATATGAAACATATTTTGGTGAAAGAAAGTTTAAAAAATGCTTTTGGGTGAGAAAGAACTTTTATGGTAAGATAAAGATTATTGCAAAATGAAAATAGATGAGAATAATGTTAAAAGGTTAATGTATGTCACAGAGATTGTGAAAATTAATCTTAAAGTAGCTGTGGTTATAACTATGCTGATTATAATATAAAGGTGACTAAAATTTTTAAGATCAAAATTCAATGTCCTGAGATAAAATTAATTTGATTCTGTTTACAATAATAAGATTTTCTTAAGTATTGATCTATTCTTTGTAATATTTAAACAAAAACATAGCTTAGAAAAACAATGGTTTTTTTAGTTATGATAACTAGTTACAAAGTCTTCTTTGAAGAAACCCATATGATTTCATCAACTAAAAGAAAAAAAGGACATTACATCAAAGACTGCACTCTGACTGGAAGAAAAAGACTGTAGCCAGTTATTTCTAACATATTCCTGTACCTCGAAACTCAAGGAGATGAACTTTCAGATTCACAAATCTTACATCAAACATGTACCAACTTCATCTGAGAACTCACCCTTGTGGACTTCAAAGATGCTAGATAATACTCATCTTCAACTACACTGACAAGTACCACAAGTACCTGAACATTGCTCTCACCTTTTATGATTCTCAAACCCTTTTATAATTAGATATTTTTAAAAATTGTTTATGAAGGGCTTGAGAGATGGCTCAGCAGTCAAGAGCTGCTCTTGCAGAGGACCTGGATTCGAGTCCCAGCACCCACATGGCAGCTAACAACCATCTGTAACTCCAGTTCCAGGGGCTCCAACACCCTTCTCTGACCTCCATGGACATGGTACAGCATGGGTGCACTTACATACATGCAGGCAATAAAATCATACACATAAAATAAAAATAACAAAACATTTTCAAAATTGTTTGTTTTGTATTTCACTTGGTATGTTCCTAAATGATAAAATACTGATAATGTCGGTTTTAATGAAGTAATAAATGAAGATATTATTTCCTATTATTAATCATGTTTTTTAAATGTATTATTTTTATTTTACATGTATGAGTGTATTGCCTGCCTGTATGTAAGTATACCCATGTCATGGAATGCCCATGGAGGTCAGAGGAGGGCATCAGATCCCCTGGAACTGGAGTTACAGATAGTTGTTAGCCACCATGTGGATGTTGGGAATTGAACTTGGTCCTTTGCAAGAGCAGCCAATGTTCTTAACCACTGAGCCATCTCTCTAGCGTAGACCAGGCTGATCCTGAACTCACAGAGATTTGCCTGCCTCTACCTCCCAAGTACTGGGATTAAAGGCATGAGCCACTATGCCTGCCCTAATTATGATTTTTTTTATGAAAGTCAGAACCTCTGACTTTACTCAAAACTAGTTTCATGTTTAAAAGATTCAAGTATTTTCACTCTATAAATTTTTTTTCATTATTCAGGATAATTTGGATTTTAAAAACCTAATTATTTTTTATTTTTAAAGATTTTTATTTTTGTATGAATGTGTTTTGGGTGCTGGGAACCAAACCTGGGTCCTCCTCCTCCTGATGAGTAGTAAGTACTCTTAACTACTTAGCCGTCTCTCAGCTCCCTAAAATCTAGTTTTTAATTAATTAATTTATTTATTTATTTATTTATTTGGTCTTTTTGACACAGGGTCTCCCTGTAGCCACAACTGGTCTGGAGCTCCTTATGTAGACCTTGAACTCACAGAAATCTGCCTGCCTCTGCCTCAGGAGGGCTAGGATTAAAGGTGTGGACCACCATGCCTGGACATATTACTGTTTTTATTGATGTTAAAAATGTTAAGACAAATTAAACACTATAAAAGGCCCTATAACATGCTCAAATGTTTAACCAAGTAACTTTAACCCTATTCATTCTAGTTAGAGATACCCAAAGAGTCGGGTTAACTCTTCTCCAAATATACAAAATACAATGCTTAGCCAACAGAGAATCTGTGAAGGAAAGTTCCCCAAAAGAAACTGAAACTTCAGTGCTGGGCGGGTGTGTACGCCTTTAATCTCAGCACTTGGGAGGCAAAGCAGACAGATCTCTGTAAGTTAAAGGACTGCGTAGTCTACATAGTGAGTTCCAGGCCAGCTGAGGCTACAGGGAGACCCTGTCTCAAAAAGACAAAAAGAAAAAAAAAAAAAAAAAAGAGAGAAATTGAACCTTCAAACTGAACCTCCTGCAAGAGTGATTAACTGATACGAACTTCAACCATTGTGGAGAATTTGGAATGTTGTAGGTCCGGAGCCTAATTACAATTTAAAAAAAAAAAAAAAGAAAGAAAAAAAGAAATTGAACCTTCAAACTGAACCTCCTGCAAGACTGATTAACTGATTAGAACTTCAACCATTGTGGAGAATTTGGAATGTTGTAGGTCCGGAGCCTAATTACAATTTATCTTGGGCTACCTTTAGCCCCCTAAATGGCCAGCCATTCCTTGCCCATCTCTGTGCCTGACCTAATATCCTGTGACTAACAGATAAAAACCTTTTGAGATGTATTAATGTAACAAAACCCTAGTTTGTACCAACCAAAAGGCTGAGTGTCATCAGATAGCATCTGAGGCCCATAGCTGAGATTTCCCTGCTTTGCCTTAATTGCCTACTTAATGTTACCACTAAATTATTTGAAAAGTGCCTTGATTTTTGACTTTTCTGTGTTCTGTATAAAACTATAAAAACCATGAAACTGCTTCCACATTGGAACATGGAATCTGTAACCTGAATCTGTATTCTCTGGCCATGGTCATACATATTTGGTTCCAAAATGAACTATCTCATTCCTTTTGAGGTGAGAGTTGGGTTTTTGCCTTAACAGACCCTGTATCAAAAAATAAACAAGCAATTAAATAGAATTTAGCCCATACAGAGCAAGAAAACTACAGGCTGCATAAAACAGGGCACAAGCTGGATGCCCTGCCCACCTCTAATCCTCATGACAGCTGTGACGGCCCCCCAGACTGGGAAAAAAAGTTTGGGTTTCGAGTACCAGCTATGTCAGAAAAACAACGGCAGAGAAACCAGAAGACAAAGACTCTTGCTAGCTTGCCAGCACCGGGGTGGAGTTGGGTACAGCTGTCACTGAAGGAGATCACAGTGTCCTGCCTGCTCTTTTTGACTGAACTGGAAGGAGGAGATGCGCTGGGCTGCCAGCTACTCCCATAGGAAGGCGAGGTGGGAGAGGACAGGCAGGCACAAAGTGAAACTGTTCGTGAGGGAGTGACAGTGGAGGCAGAGCAGCCTGGGGAACAGCCTGAGGAGCCCCAGGCAGAGTCACCTGTTGAGCTGGAGAGTCTGTGAACCGACGTTTGGTCCCCTACCTCCATTGCTGCAGGCCCCTCCGGGAGGATGGAGGCCCGCCTGCGCCCAGCCCCAAACGAGGGAGGAGCCCCAGCCCAGGTGGTGCAGGTGGAAGGTTCTGGTTCCCGGGCCCAGAAAAGGGACTGCAAGTCACCTGGCGGAGGCGAGAGCACTGTGGGCCCCAGGATCCGGCTCTGGGAAGCTGGGTTTGTCTCCCAGTCGCCACGTCGGTGGACCACAATGCAAGAGGTAAGGCACTGGCTTGGGTGGAGGCTGAGCGCAGGCATGCTTCGTTGCGGAGTTTAGTTCCTCCACCACCGAGGAGCCCTGGGGAAAGGGAGCCTGTGTGCCCCGCCTCCAGGACGGAGGAAGCAACAGTGTCAGGTACCCAGGTGTGCTCGTGGTTCGGTGCATGCTGGCTTTGCTGGGGCCGCCTGTGTCCTGTGCCCCTTCGGAGCAGGAGGGGACACACAGAAGGAGACGCAGGCTGCGGAGTCCTCTCTAACCCAGCAGCTGGGCATCTGGCCAGCTCCGAGATCAACGGTTCACATCTGTGTTGACTTTCCCTCCTGGACTGTGTGCGGCTTTTGTGGTGGCGAGTGGGTGTCCAGGTTCAAGGCAGAGCGTGACCCTGGGAAAAGGCGGCCGCTTCTGCGTAACAACTCTGTAGCCTGGGGTCAAGTGTGCTTATGCGCCTGAGCGCTAAGGTCCTCACCCCTGAAACAGAATTGTATTAGAATGGGTGGCTGGAGAGATCGGGCGTGCGTGCTTGAAAAAAATAGAGTCCAGGCTGGTGGTACAGGCCCTGGCAGGAGCACCAAAAGTTCAAGACCAGTCTGGGCCTTGTGGCGAGACGCTGGTTTGGGTTTGTTGGTTTGGTTGGATTTTAAAGAAGACCACAAAAGCAACAAAATACAAATTACGGGTGACGTTCCCGGCCCCTAGGGGGAGCATTTTTTGCCTTAGGAAGGCTGAGCGCTGTTGGCAGAGATTTCTCTGCCTGCCTAACCCCTTCCTTTCTCCCGTCCTTTGCCCTGTCATCCTCTTCGTGGCTCAGTTTCTTTTGGATGTAGGCACATGCACATGTGGCTTCCAGATTTCCTTAAATAAACGTATGGAATAAAATAGTTTTCTGTTGGAATCCTGTGACCCAGATGTTTTAAAATCAGGACAGGACACCTGTTTCAACTATGACTGGCCAGGGACTGCTCCTGTTTCCCCCAGGCACCTGTCTTTCTGAAAGCTCACTGCAGCCACTTAGCTGACTGTTGGAAAGGGTGAACCAAGCACATGGTGCCGCCTCCACTGTCCCATCCATACTACATTGTTTACAGTTTTTTCTTTATTTTTGGTGGTGTTTGTTTTTGAGACAGGGTCTCATTCTAAAGCTCAGGCTGGCTTCAAACTCAGGGCGGTCCTTCTGCCTCAGCTTTTCAAGTACTGAGATTACAGGCATGAACCACTGTGCCTAGTGCTGTTGAACAATGTTTGGGAAGCTCCACCATGGTGGAAATGTGTCAGGAAGTGGGAAATGTGTCAGGAAGCAGGAAATGTGGACCCACGAAAAGGAAACAGACTCATGAGCTGTCCGCTCTGAAGGGCCAGAATCCACACTGTCAGCCTCTCGTTCAGATTGTCAACATGGATGGTACAGGGAAGTCTGTACCATTTGCCCCATGGTCCATAGGTGAGGAAATTGACGTTCAGAACATCATCACTTGCACAGTATGACACTACTGGGAAGAAGCACAGCTGGAGCCTGAGCTCGAATTTATGAGCAGCAGCTACTGAGTGCTATCCGTAAGGCAGGCAGGACTAGCAAGGATTACTCCAGAACAGATAGAATGCTTGGCAGATCAGAGGAAAATGTGTAGAAGGGCATATTTGTTAACTAGTAACATTTTTATGGAGAAGCAAATGTGATTATATAACTCCCAGTTCTCACTGAGAGGAGGGAAAAGAATCAAAAAAGAAATATGAGTACTTTCTCATCTTGAAAAGGGGATTTGTTTTATTGTTTTGGAAAACCAACAAAATATTCCTTAATTCAACATAGTTTTTGAGTACGTGCTTTGTGTGGCCACTTCTCATTTTAGGTGTCTGGGTGCTTCTTAGAATCAGTAAAAAAAAAAAAATGTCTGTCTTAGCCAGACATGGTGGTAAATGTATGTAATCCAACCGGAAGGTTCAGGCAGGATCAAAAATTTGAGAAAAAAGATACAAACAAAAATATAAGGGTCAAATAGCAGCCAGTACAATGTAGATACCGAAGCAGGGAAGGGTCCAAGGGTGCAGTCAGCAGGAAAGACTGTCATTTTACGTGAGACAGTGAGACAGTGCAGTGATGTCAAGAAAGGCATCACACTGGGGGCTGGAGAGCTGGCTCAGTGGTAAGAGCACTGGCTGCTCCTGCAGAGGACCTGGATTCAGTTCCTAGCATCCATATGGCAGTTAACAACTGTCTGTAACTCCAGTTCCAGGGGATCCAACACCCTTTCTGGCCTCTGCAGGCACTAGTAATGCACAAGGTACACTGCATGCATGCAGGCAAAATAGTCATACAAAAGTAAATGGGGTTTTTTTGGTTTTTTTTTTTTAAAGATGTTACTATAAGGGAGGACTTGAGCAGAAACTTAAAAGAGGTTAGAGAGTTGGTTATGTATATGTCTTAGAGGCAAAAATTCTGTAGACAGGTACTAGAAGAAGCTGGTTTGGTAATCAACAAACAGTCAAATGCAGAATGATGGTTCAGAGGTAGCAGGAAGTGAATGGTCAGATACAGCGGAACCCACTGTGGAAACCGACTTTCCTTCTCCTTCAGCTGGAGATCCACATGAGCATACTGAGCAGCTCCATGGTATCATGTGCCATACATTTTTGTTGGAATCATCTGACTGTTTCGAAACTAGATGATCAAAAGGGTGGGAGCAGGGACCCGAGCAAGAAAGTCAGTCAGGCCAAACTTAGCAGCGAAGGTGGCTGAAAGCGTCAGATTCTGGCTGAAGAACCCACTGTGGAAACCGACTTTCCTTCTCCTTCAGCTGGAGATCCACCTGAGCACACTGAGCAGCTCCATGGCATCATGTACCATACATTTTTGTTGGAATCATCTGACTGTTTTGAAACTAGATGATCAAAAGGGTGGGAGCAGGGACCCGAGCAAGAAAGTCGGTCAGGCCAAACTTAGCAGCGAAGGTGGCTGAAAGCGTCAGATTCTGGCTGAACTAATGATGCTTTGACTTCATGGTGGACCAAAGTGATATGCATTTGGTTAAAAATTACTTTAAGCTGTGAATTTTGACCTTTTCCCGGGCTAGCCACATACAGTGCTGTACAGGCAAACAACAAATAGGATCTTCTCTCTTCCAGGCAATGAGGTTTGGCAGCTCAGGTGTAATGACTACATTTTTGGCTTATGATATTTATGGTATTTTCCAGCTTACCATAGGTTTGTTGGGCCATAACTCTATGGTAAGTCAAAATGCATCTGTGTATTAAAAGTGAAATCAATGTGGTTTACTGATTGGACCAGGGGTGGGGGGGCTGTTGTTGATGACCCCAAGGCATGAAGGCTGAGCATCTAGGATTGGGGGGCTAGTGTTTGCTAAGATGGCTTAATACCGAGTGTATAAGTCACTTTTCTGTTGCTGTGATAGAAACACTGACCAAAGCAATTTATAGAAGTAAGAGTTTATTTGAGCTTACGGTTCCAGGGGAATTACAGTCCATCTTGGTGGGGAGACATGGCGGCAGAGGTGGCTGGAGGAGGAGCAGTGGAAGGTAAGCTCTACATCTTCAAGCAGGCACAGGAAACAAGAGAGCGACTGGAGGTCTGGCAAGGCTTAAGAACTCTCTAAGCCCACCCCTAGTGACATGCATCCTCCACAGTAGCCACACCTTCTAAAACCTCCCAAAACAGCACCATCATCTGGGGACAAAATGTCCAAATACTTGGAGCCTATGGGGGACATTTTCATTCAAACCATCACACTGAGTCTGATAGGAGATCAGAAGTCAGTTTTACTCATGGAATGTTTAAAGGGTTGATTAGGCAGAGGAATACTAGCTTAACAAGGGAGTGGTCATGGTAGGAGAATAAGTAGAATAATATATGTACATTAAAACAATATTAAGTCCATAGGTGTTTTGAATAAGCAATTGCAGGGTGTTAAAACTGACTTCACATTCTCTGACATTCACCATATCAAGAGGTGGGACCATGTTCCCTATGCTTGTAACTGAACAAAACTGAAGGCTGCTTTGAACAGTGCAATGTGGCACGTGGGGTACTATGGAACATCAGGGAATGGCGTGAAAGACCATAGTGTTCCTACCCCTTTATGAAAACTCGTTTTTGTAGCCCTTAGCCAGGTCAGCAGTCTCTGCCCCACAGCATTCATCCTGAAGATGCCTCATGTAGACCTGGCTGACAGTTCCAGCTAAGCCTAGCTTACCAGCTCTCCTGCAAGGCTAATCTTAGAGCCCTGCAGACCAGATCCGCCAAGCAGACACCAATGAATGGCCTTCAGCAACATCCTGTGGACAGAAAAAAAACACCCAGCTGGACCTTGTCAAAATTCTTATCCCACACAATTTTGTGAGAAATAGAAGAATGTAGTGTTTTATGTTCGTTTTAGACCACTCGATTTTTCAGTTGATTGGTTTTGCATCGTAGGTATTAGAACAATTAGATACCTTTTGTTGTTAGTGATAAAAAAAGTTATCTTTAGTTGGGCATGGCAGTGCACACCTATAATCCCAACATTTGGAAGACGGAGGCAGGAGGATTGTAAATCCAAGGTCAGCCTGGGCTACATAGTAAGACTATCTCAAAGAAAAGTTATTTTTCCTTATAGCTATATGACTTGGGGGAATTTTATAAGAATATGTTTTGAGAGCCTGGTAGATAACTCAGTTGGTAAAGTGCTTACCATGCAAACATGGAAGCCTGAGTTCAATCCCCAAGACCTACATAAAAAAGGCCAGGTGTTGTGGTGTGCATCTGGAATCCCAGCATAAGGAAGACAGAGAATGAAGGGTTCCTGGGACTTGCTGGATAGTTTGACAAATCAGTGAGCTGCAGGTTCAGTGAAAGACACTGCCTCAAAAACAAAACAAAGTGGGAGGTTACGGAGGAACCACCATTGAGGCTGGTCTCTGGCTCCCACACCCATAAGCACATGCGTGCATACACACATGAACACATTCACATATACCACATACACATAGAATGTTTTGTTATAAAGTTT